TCGTCTACTACGTCTGCTCCCTATACCTCTGCAGTGTGGTGTCGGTCGTCTACTACGTCTGCTCCCTATACCTCTGCAGTGTGGTGTCGGTCGTCTACTACGTCTGCTCCCTATACCTCTGCAGTGTGGTGTCGGTCGTCTACTACGTCTGCTCCCTATACCTCTGCAGTGTGGTGTCGGTCGTCTACTACGTCTGCTCCCTATACCCCTGCAGTGTGGTGTCGATCGTCTACTACGTCTGCTCACTATATCCCTGCAGTGTGGTGTCGATCGTCTACTATGTCTGCTCACTATATCCCTGCAGTGTGGTGTCGATCGTCTACTACGTCTGCTCCCTATACCCCTGCAGCATGATCAGAATTCATTGATACTGTCAGTTTTCCTGATAGCATCAACAGACAAAAATTGCACGGTATCTATTTATTTAAATCTGTTGAAAATTAATAGTGATATTTGGGATACAAACAATGCTAACCCAATGCTAACCCACCAGCTACATGTATGTAGCCATTGGCCTCTAGTTAATATAGTTCTTGTAACAACATCCCTGTCAGTAGTTGTGCGACCTTCTTCTGAACCAGGTTTTCGTGACATATCACTTACCAGGCATTTCTGTCAGTAATTGGGTGACCTGTTTCTGTGTCTAGTATTTCTGACTTACTTGTAAGTAGTTGTGTGACCTGTTTCTGAGCTAAGTATCTCTGACTTACTTGTCAGTAATTGTGTGACCTGTTTCTGTGCCTGGTATTTCTGACTTACTTGTCAGTAGTTGTGTGACCTGTTTCTGTGCCTGGTATTTCTGACTTACTTGTAAGTAGTTGTGTGACCTGTTTCTGTGCCTGGTATTTCTGACTTACCTGTCAGTAGTTGAGTGACCTGTTTCTGAGCTAAGTATTTCTGACTTACTTGTCAGTAGTTGTGTGACCTGTTACTGTGCCTGGTATTTCTGACTTACTTGTCAGTAGTTGTGTGACCTGTTTCTGATCTAAGTATTTCTGACTTACATGTCAGTAGTTGTGTGACCTGTTTCTGTGCCTGGTATTTCTGACTTACTTGTCAGTATTTTTTTGACCTGTTTCTGAGCTAAGTATCTCTGACTTACTTGTCAGTAATTGTGTGACCTGTTTCTGGGCCTGGTATCTCTGACTTATTTGTCAGTAGTTGTGTGACCTGTTTCTGAGCTAAGTATTTCTGACTTACTTGTCAGTAGTTTTGTGACCTGTTTCTGTGCCTGGTATTTCTGACTTACTTATCAGTAGTTGTGTGACCTGTTTCTGTGCCTGGTATCTCTGACTTACTTATCAGTAGTTGTGAGACCTGTTTCTGAGCTAAGTATCTCTGACTTACTTGTCAGTAGTTGTGTGCCCTGTTTCTGAGCTAAGTATCTCTGACTTACCTGTCAGTAGTTGTAGACCTGTTTCTGAGCTAAGTATCTCTGACTTCCTTGTCAGTAGTTGTAGACCTGTTTCTGAGCTGAGTATCTCTGACTTACTTGTCAGTAGTTGTGTGGCCTGTTTCTGAGCTAAGTATCTCTGACTTACTTGTCAGTAGTTGTGAGACCTGTTTCTGAGCTAAGTATCTCTGACTTACCTGTCAGTAGTTGTGTGACCTGTTTCTGAGCTAAGTATCTCTGACTTACTTGTCAGTAGTTGTGTGACCTGTTTCTGAGCTAAGTATTTCTGACTTACTTGTCAGTAGTTGTGAGACCTGTTTCTGAGCTAAGTATTTCTGACTTACTTGTCAGTAGTTGTGAGACCTGTTTCTGAGCTAAGTATCTCTGACTTACCTGTCAGTAGTTGTGTGACCTGTTTCTGAGCTAAGTATCTCTGACTTACTTGTCAGTAGTTGTGTGACCTGTTTCTGAGCTAAGTATCTCTGACAGATTGGATGGTTCCACTGCCTGTAGCACTCCTCTGCCAAATCCTGAGTGATAACAAACACAGTGGTAAACCCTACTGAAACGTAGCGCTATTTGATGAGGTCTCGTAAGTTCATATCAATTTACCTGCTAATTTAGCATATCCAGTCATTCATTACAGCAATGGTCAGATCATGATAAGATAATTTAACAAAACAAAAACAAAAATCTAGAAACGGCATTAGTAAACAGTTTTGGTTTACCGGGTAGTCATTAATGTGTTCCTATAGCATGTTTTTAAATTGCTGACTATTAATGAAATTAAAATTATGATATAAAATTGAATACTGAACTTGAGCACTTTATTTTAGTCAGTCATGCTTAATATTATATGTTTATACATTGTATGTTGGATTGGCTAATGACCCAAAGAGAAGAGAAAAGACAGAAATGGCAGAGTTATAATAAAACATTTAACAAGCAATGTAATACCATTATAAGAGACAAAACCTTGTTAACACGAATATCAGGAAGTAAATAAAAGTTCAACTTATGTTTACTTTATAACAAACAGTGGTCAAATAAACATGATTTACAGAGAAAGTAATGTCAATCGTAATAGTCAAAGGTGCGTTCTGAATCATTTTCTTTACTAAACACACCCTAAATAGGATATTCAATGTCGAGGAACTGATATGAGATTGACTTGTCAGAACACAAACAATGTCAAATAATGCTTATGAAAATCATCATAACAAAAATAAGTGTCAAAAGTAATAGTAATGATACTGAATCACTCAGAAGCAGATGTAAAATATTACCACGGGCAGTCGGGATATAAGCTGCTGCTTGAATTTGATATTTTCACTTCCATCAGGTAAATCTGCAACAGGAAAATCACATTTTAATGGCAAGCAACTAATAACTCAGATGATGAAATAATCAAACAAGAGGCCCAGGGGCCTTAATAGCTCACCTGGTATTTTATTTTTCAATTTAAAACCGGGTGAGTACCATACAGGTTTATCAAAGGAGTACAAGAAACAAAGTTGCAAGAAGAACTACATAAGTGGGAAAGACAACAAGAAAATGAGTTTCCATGTTATGTCCCAAATTTCCTCTATTTCCCCTATTGGGCCTCACATGCACCTTTTTATACAAATTAAACAAATTGAGTTTTTTCCCCCTAAGCATGCTTCAGACCACATTTGTTAATGTTTTCCCCTATTTCCCCTAATGGGCCCACTCATTTGCTCCAAAGAAGGGACCACACCCTCCGTTTATACAAACTTGAGGCTCCGTTGTCCAAAGATGCTCTAGAGCAAATTTGGTCAAAATCCCTCTATTGGTTGAGAGGAAGAAGATTTTTAAAGATTACCTATTTCCCCCCTATTTGGAGGCTACTTCAATATCGCCATCGTTATAGTGGAAATCCGTCAAACGTGTTGATAACTTTATGAGTACCATTGTCATTGCATTAAAATTGAGGATTCCCGCACTACTGCCACATAGCATTAAAATTAAGAATCCCCGTACCACTGCCACATAGCATTAAAATTGAGGAATCCTGTACCACTGCCACATAGCATTAAAATTAAGAATCCCCGTACCACTGCCACATAGCATTAAAATTAAGGATCCCCGTACCACTGCCACATAGCATTAAAATTAAGGATCCCTGTACCACTGCCCTGGACTTCAGATTGAAATACTATCGCTCTTACTGATTGAGCTACCTGGACAGTGGAAGTGTCCTGGCAGAACTGTGCTACAGTTACATCCAAACGGAAGTTAAAGGGAGGTTACTGTTCATAGGAAAAACCACAGTGCAGTGGGACAGTAACCCTGAACCCTTTCGTCACTGTAGACCTTAATGGACTCGTCCAGATCAATGTATGGTAGAGTCTATTAAAGTTACCTAGGGGTGAAAGGGTTAAGACAGAAGTCTCATTTCCATTTTCATACCAGAATCATGAAACAAAGTCTCTTTTTCAGCTTGTTTAAATGAAACCTTCCAGATCTGTTCATGAATGAAACCTTATTTAACATCATGTAGTTTATATTCCATAATACAAGATAATGTTACCACCTTAATTGACAAATCCAATACATTCCACACAACTTGGAGCATTCAAGACAGAGGGACATGCTTCTTTTAACTACACTAGATAACATAACTTGTCAGTTGTGTAAACACTTTTTGCCTCACCTCCCAAAACTTGAGCCATGAAATCTCCCGTCAACCGCAGAACTCCTCTGTCTATGTACTGGAAGAACAAACTGCAACACCAGAGATTATCAATATTTCAATAATAATAATAATAATATACAAAATTTATATAGCGTCCTATATAATTTGTAAAATTACTCTAAAGCGCTTTACAACATATGGATAATAGTATAAGTTCTAATTGTGAAACAAAAACAAAGGCTTAAAATCACTTTTATACAATAAGACTTTTCAAAATCTGACATGTAAGAAACTCACTGTTTATAGCTGTAATCTAATACAACATAATATCCAATTTCAGGGTTATTAAGTGACAGAATTATAAGGAGTCTTTTAAGGAAATGATTGCAAGTAATAAACAAGTACTAATTGTAATGGGGGACCGTTACAGAAGTCCCCCAAACTACCTCCCTAGTCGAAAAGATGCAAAACAGATGTCAGGGTAGAGTTGACAGTGCCATTGAATACCAAGCCTAAGCAACATTGGGAAAAGAGAGGGACAAATGGCATCACCTTGGCATACACCTTTAAATGTGTTAGTATATCAGAGGCCGCGGTGGCCATCTTGGATGTGCAGCTGTTAAATAAAAGGTGTTCTGCACATCTAGGCACATGCCTCAATACTCATGTAAAGTTTCATTGGAATCTAATGAACTGTTTCTGAGAAAACTTACAGAAACAATTTTAATGCGGAAGAAGAAGGAGAAAAAAAGAAGAAGATTAGGAAACAGAGTAAAACCAATAAGTCCCCGACTTCGTTTTGAGGACTTAATTACAAAATGCATATGATGTTTTTCAATAAACAAGTAAATGTGTAATTGGAAAAAACTAGTGATCAACCTAATTTTGACTGATCCTAAGACTTACTCAAGGTACGGAAATTTAAAGAACTGCCTATTTTTTGCAGTAACAATTTCTAAATGCAAGTAACAATTTAAAATCAAAGTAATGGAAAAGAGGCAAGATGGTTTTAAACCTTTTCTTGAATACAAATCAGATGAATATCAGCTTAAAATAGAGTTATCTAACAGACATCTAAAAACAAGTCTTACCTTTTGTTCAGAACCCTTGCTCCTATAGCTGTGAAATAGGATGAAAATCCTGAAACAAGTACAGAATGATTTAAAAATTTAAAAAAAACAGGGAAGTGAAACTAATTTAAAACAAGAGGCCCAAGGGGGCCTGTATCGCTCATCTGAATATTTAAGCAGTCATAGCAAAATATTCTCATTAAATATTATATTGCACTAAAAGTATTTCCCTCGCAAACTTTGTTGGCTCCATCTGTTGAAACTACCAGCAAAATATTATTATAAGATTCTATGCTTTTTGATTCTTCTTCAGAAGTTGCTTGACATATTTTTCCCTGTGACCTTGTAAGTAGGTCAATGTCATTTTTCTTCTCAAATTGGTTCGCTCTATTCCAAAAAGCTACCAGCCAAATCTTATGAATCCATTCCTTTTAGTTCTTAAGAGCAAATCCATTAAAATGTTGTTGACCTCTGTGACCTCTAAAGTAGGTTGAGGTCATTTTCATTCGCAAATTTTGGTGAGCTCTATCCCAGGAAGTCACCAGCCAAATATTATAATTTTATGCCTTTAATTCTTCAGAAGAAGTAGTTTGAACTGTTTGACATATTTGAACGCTGTGACCTTGAAAGCAAGTCAAGGTCATTTTAATTCGCAAACTTTGTTTGGCTCTTTCCCAGGAAGCCACCTGCCAAATATTAAGATTTTATACCTTTCAGTTCTTCAGAAGAAGTTGTTCTAAGTGTAGAAATATCTGACTCCTGCGACCTTGAAAGTAGGTCAAGGTCAATTTCATTCGCAATTTTTGTTGGGCTCTTTCCCAGGAAATAACCAGCCAAATATTAAGGTTCTATAACTTCCAGTTCTTTAGAAGAAGTCGTTTGAAGTGTTTGACATATCTGCCTCATGTGACCTTGAAAGTAGGTCAAGGTCATATTCATCCTCAAACTTTGTCGGGCTCTATCCCAGGAAGCCATCAATCAAATATAAAGATTCTATACCTTTCAGTTCTTCAGAAGAAGTCATTTGAAGCTTTTGACACATTTCACCCCTGTGACCTTGAAAGAAGGTCAAGGTCATTTTCATCCAAAAACTTTGTCAGGCTCTATCCCAGGAAGCCATTAATCAAATATAAAGATTCTATACCTTTCAGTTCTTCAGAAGAAGTCATTGGAAGCTTTTGACACATTTCACCCCTGTGACCTTGAAAAAAGGTCAAGGTCATTTTCATCCAAAAACTTTGTCAGGCTCTATCCCAGGAAGCCATTAATCAAATATAAAGATTCTATACATTTCAGTTCTTCAGAAGAAGTCATTTGAAGCTTTTGACACATTTAACCCCTGTGACCTTGAAAGAAGGTCAAGGTCATTTTCATTCTCAAACTTTGTTAAGCTCCATCCCAGGAAGCCATCAGCCAAATATGAAGATTCTATACCTTTTAGTTCTTCAGAAGAAGTCGTTTAAAGTTTTTGACATATTTGACCCATGTGACCTTGAAAGTAGGTCAAGGTCATTTTCTAGGGCTCCTACAAACAAAGCTTTCGGCCAAGTATCATGACTCTAGGCCTGTCCGTTCTTCAGAAGAAGTTGTTTAAAGGAAAAGTTGACGGACAAGGACGAACGACGGACGCCGCACCATGACATAAGCTCACTTGCCCTTCGGGCAGGTGAACTAATAAAAGAGAATAAATTGAAATATGAGGGAACCTCATCCAGTATATAATGTCGTTTTGTATTGCAGAGTTATATGCTCTTGTGAGCAGGAATTGATTTTACGTCATTAGTTTGTGTGAGAAAATTACGTCGTTTTCTCAAAAAGTTATGACGTTATTCTCACAAACAAATGGCGTAACAATCAGTACCTGCTCACAAGAGCAGATAACTCTGCAATACGAAAAGACGGAATAAGACAAGGAAATTTCTGTGTTTTGTGCAGGATTTGAGCACTCACCTTGTAGTATAGGGAAGGCGAGGTCCTGACAGGTCTGGTAGTACCTCTCAAACAACTGAAACAGCTCATACTCATCCTCAGTACAGGGGTCAAGGCTGTCACAGAAATAGGATTGGGATGTAGTTGATATTATGATAACAACCGTCCAATTATTATGTACATAAAAATTCAATTTCTATCCAAAAAAATGTATTGTCCAGTTCGTCCTCTGCAACTCAGGACAACAGTTTTGACTCTTCCCAAAACAGCCATGGAACAATTAGTACATACTGATGTTTTTTCGTGCATGGTACAGTTCATTGGAAAATAACAAATATGGGTTTGATCACTTCTCATGAGATATAACCCAAGGAACATATAATATGCAGTAAACATCAGTAACATTAATGTATCGGTAATGTTATAAGATTAGTAGGAATGCTTGAAATGTGATAACTTGAGCCCTAGACAAATTTTAGTAGACTATCTTTGGTTTGTGTTTTTTTCACAACAAGGGACAAATGATTCTAAGGTGTTCTCTAAAATAAATTCAATTCCTTTTTAAAAACATAAGCTGCTCTCTGTTTTTTTATACCAACAGGCAGTGGGATCACTGCAGCAATGCTGTAGCTTGTAAACCTATGATCTTTGTTGATTGATTTTTGTATGTAACTAACAGCCATGTTTTATATATAGATACTTCATAAAGACAGTCCCTAGAGCTAGAACTAGAATAGCTAGATCAGCAGGGTAGGGAGTCGGGTCAGGGAGTCGTGACAGGCTTACAGGTTGGGTAGGAAGTCGAGGTCAGTGTATGGCAGTAAGGGACCACGTAGGTTCCACAGGAGGTGACACAACTGACGTGACTGCTGTAGCTGCAACAAACAAAACATCCATATCAGAATAGTTTATCGTTATAAGTTATTAAAGATATCTAAAAAAATAAGAAAAATACATTTTTTTAGATATCTTGTAAAAAAATAAAATAGTAAAAAAAAAAATCTTTTTTATAGATAAACAACAAAAATTTATCTTTCACTTGTTTAATTAAAGCCATTGTATGTTTTATTTTTTTCCATATAGAAGCACATATCTTTTACCACAAAGTTTTTATTTGTTTATACAAAATAATACAGTGTAACTTTAACTCGTTTATGCAGAGACAATGTATCTGTATTTAATTTATTTACACGTGAAAAGCTTGTTTTTAAACCTTCACACAAAAACGGATGGTCAAGTATCAACTGATAACCTAAACTGATCTTATTTTCAAGAAGTCATACCTGACAGTAGACATATTCCTTGGCTACACTCTGTGATTTGCTCTTCGACTCTTTCCTCATGTGCCGAGTCATATGGTTGCTGAGGAGGTCCCTGGTCTGAAACAAAATTGGCATTTCTAAGAAATGTGATTTTCTACAAATGGAAACATATCCAGGTTACTGTGATACTTGTGCAAGTAAATTGTTTCATTTTTGGTTTAGCTTTTAACAACACACCGATCAAATGCAAGTTTCAGTTTTAAATTAAGGTAAGTGCACAGAATATCTTAAATCTTTCATTTTAATAGACAAAATCAATTGAGACAATAAACTACACAGTCAATTATGCTCCATGCTATGGAAGCATTGTAATGAACTATGGTCTACTACAGATTAAAGAATATGATATGACATATCAAGTCAAAACAAGTGTTGTAAACAAATCATGTTAGAATAGGACTTTGAGGTTCGTATAGATGTGTTTTACTGTACCATTTTAATTGAAGTCACCTGCACTAGAAGTCCAACCAAAGACTACATGTAACTATCCAAATTAAAGGCTAGCGACTAGATAACTCATCATTATACTCCATGATCCCTTTTGATTAGTAACTAGAAAGGCAGGTTCTGATAACGGCCAAAAGGTCACTTACCAAAGCCATAGCACTATCAGACGCCTCAGTTGTGTGGCTGCTCTGTAGGAAGGGCGGGGCATTGCCCAGTACAGTGTCCGGCCGCACCCTCTTACTGCCGTCAATCTGTGTAGAGGGGGAGGGCGAGTCTGTCCTAGAACTACACAGCAAGGCAGTTATAGGTCAAAATCACATGGCAAGGGTAAGAAATATAATGTTATTATATTAATGCCATTGGTTGGCCAAAGAATGTTCTGCATAACAAAAAGTATGAGAAAAGTCAAGTCATATTGAACTTCTGAAGGGTAACACTGGAATGCTAACAACAAAGCTGTTTTTAAATATTCTGAACGCTGACGAACAATGTTCACCCACTATGAGATCCTATTTGTATGCAAATATTTTTATACCAATGTAATCAATAAAAGATGTAGGGAAAGATCCCTAAGAACCAACATCCAATATTTCATATATTTGTTATGGATTATCTTCTTGGTTTCAGGAGGATATACTTCTTGGCATACAAGCCCTCTTGAAAGTAATTTGATAATGAACATTAAAACAACAGAAGCAACTCCTGAAGCCTGGTTTTCATAAAGGATATAAAGTATTGGCAATTTGGTAAAAGAAGAATGGGAACCAGGCTTGAGGAGTTACTATACTCATCGCTTTACTTTTAATGTAATTAAAGTTAAGACATGAAATTCAGCATGGTTACAGCTGCCGTTGTGTACCTGCTAATACGTGTGTTGAAGGTGCTGAGGAATGTCTTCTCTATACTGGTTGACTGCTCCTTTGTGGAGCTTTTCTGAAAAAGTAAATTTCAAACATTGTTTAACATCCAATTCAAACTGGTACAATATGTCTAAGTAAAAAATAAAGCTTTGATTTTTAAACTCAATATTTAAAAAGACTTAATATTTAATGAATAGTTTTTTGTTTTTGTTTTTTTTACTACTTGTTATTTTCATGTAATACCTACCGCCCCAATTCCTGTCTCCAGCTGGTGCGTGGCTTTATGTATAACACTGTTTGAGAAGCGCAGAGTGTTGTTATTGAGCTGCTTCCACTGTAGGTGGCGCCGAAGTGTGTCCCACATGTCCTCCCCCACATTGCCGCGGCGCTGTCTATCCTGGGCCGTACGTGTGCCTATCTTGACACTGTTGAGCGTCGAGTATGTCAGACGAGCCTGCATTACATTGTCCCTTGTCTGACAAAATATATGACAACAGTATTTCAGCAACACGACTGACATTCTCATAGACATTTACACTGCTTCCTTAGTAAAACTGTAAGCATATATAAACCATATCACAATTTTAATAATTTCAAATGTTTGAAGATTTTTAATTCTCTAAGAAACCTCTGAACTAAGTTTTGCCAAGCTTTATTACCTTTAAAACATGCTAAGGTCAGTTTTAAATAATTAATATTTTTATAATTATCAAAATTAAAAACAAGTTTGTCGTAGGGGTTCAAAATGATCATCATTAACACCTACACAAAATACCTAGATTTCCTTACATACTTTTCAAAATACTTAATTTGAATACAATTTTGACATAAGTAATATCATTAAAGCTAAATGAAGGTTGATCAATATGCATACTTATCCCTCTTAGATCCATTAATTTAGCTAAATACCTAAATATACCTATTTAAAGGATCAAGTTTGACGAGGATTCAAATCAGTGATAAGTGATAAATAGAATATATTTGAATATGTAGTATACAAAATATTGGTGACATTAAATTTGTGATTGAATCTTAAGATGAAAATAGGATATCCCATATTCTGGATTGTAGTATTTTATAACAGAAGTTGACAATATATGGACTGATGACGGATGCCACACCACAGCATACATAAGCTCACTTTGCTCTTTGAGTGTGGTGAGTGAAAAGCTTACCTTATCATATTGGCCCCGGAAGGTTTCCGTCACAGTAAAGGGCAGTAACCTCAGACATTCCCGGTCCACCTGTCTCCTCATGCTGGAGTAGGTTGTCCCTGAAAGACCATAAACCATCTTACTTCTGATTTCTGTACCAGACAGACCACAGACAATTGCCCGTAGGACGTTGGATCTTCGTGCCAGATAATTGTGTTGGTTTATCAACATTTTTATTCTACTTTTTCATCTTGCTTCACTTAAAAAAGTACACACACAAGAGACAAACATCTAACGCCAAAACTTGTGGGAAAAAGGCCCCAGAAACTGTCCTTTTCTGGGTACAGTTACACCTCTTCATGGGTCTATGTGACCCTGATAGTATTTTACATTCCATTTACTGAACCATGTGTCGGAAATATTTACTTGGTATCTATCTATGAAAAATGAACAAACAATTTTGAATTGATGCTATGGAATGAAATACATTGATATTAAAAGAAAACTGTCCCGTTTTGGGTACACTGACGGTACCTTACTTTAGTTCTTCAGTACAGACCACATGATAAGCACACATTTGATCAGTATATTTATTTTCAAAGCTTCCTGAAAATCTTTTATATCTAGAGTCACCTCACAACATTAATCTGTAAAGAGCATTGATTGTGAATTCAAATAAATTTTCATTGCAATTTTTCAGATATATTATACCTAGGAGTGTATGTTTGATCTTTGATATTACTCAGGAATATTTTATCTGAAGAAAACTTGCAAAAATAGTTAGAAAATCAAGTGACCAAACAAGACATTGACTTAAAACATTTTTACACCCCATTTAAGAGTAATACGTCACCCAATGCTCCTATACCCAAGCAAAATATATGTTTTCATCCAAAACAACTCTTAGCATTAAAACATACTTCATTTTTAGACATTTCAGTTTAGGATCCACTGATCATTATACTAACAAAATACAATGAAATAGAATTTTTTGCTGATTGAAAACAAAATATCCTTATTTTTTAAAGCAAAATATTTAACATTCTGTACAATACTGAGTCAAGGAAAATAATTCTTGTATCTACTAAACTTAATGCACTCTTCTGCTAGTTTAATATAATGCATGTTCAGATATTGAATTCCTATTTTTTTTATTCTAACAGCTATGACATTTTCTGATACAGCTGTCAGTAATTAGAGATTACTTAAGAGTTCTATAAATTCCTCTATGTAACATTTTTACAGTAAATACCAAATCTATAGATATATTACCTGCTAAGAACTCAGCCATCAATCCTGGAACTTCTGGACTAGCAATATCATTGCTTATCATCTCAAATAACTGAAAATTTCATGCAAACATACTTTTCATTTCAGAAAGGGAATTTCCAAAAACACAATTTATTTTTTAGCTATTTCAGAAAATTAAATTGATTTATACACCATAATTATAAGATACTGACAACTAAAATGAGAAATAGAAGAATATAAAGTGTCAACCTCCAATAATTTAAGATCAATCATGGTATTCATGAGTTTTCCCTGTCATTGTTCATAACACAGTAAATCTATTCAGCCTACCCGTTTGAGGAGCCAGAAGTCCCTCGTGCGCAGCAGTACGTAGTGGAGAAGAGCGGACCTTGTCGAGGGCATCACAGTCTCAGTAAATATATCTACCAGAATGTCGGTGTTTACAACCACCTTCCATACATCCCCACGACTGTAGTCAAACAGGTACAAATCTACAACAATACAATGAAATATTGATAGTTACCTCCCTTCTGTATATCACATTTCTTATTATGAAATGTGATGGTGTATACTGGAAATTTTTCGCTGCAGTTTGATTTTCTCATTTATTGCCCTCCGTAACAATGGTGAATTTATCATTACAGTGATTATTTGTAAACATTATATAACACTAAATGTGAGGGGCGAAAAAGTAACACTAAGCGAAAAGTGATCTTATCTGCAAAGGGCCAAATTTTGACTGGATGAAAGTTTCTTTGGATATACATGTAGTATCACTTCATTAGTTTACATCGGTACCACACTGTGAAGATATGAATTTTTATACGTTTTTGCCAATCAAACATGGATATCCACATTTTATATGGTGCTAGACAGTTCTATCTTTTCCTTGGAACTAGACAGATAATATTAATTTTGATTTGACAAAACGGTTGGCAAGAAATAGAATCAATCACTCCTCTGTGATGTAGTTTTCAATGTCAATAACCTTACCCTTAAGCTATTGTGATGAAACTGTTAACCTATCAGAATGCAGTATGCGATCAGTGCAGATTTTTCTCAACTTCATTTGTAATATTGACCAAGTTTCATCAGAACATAGTCATAATTTGTATTTGATATAGTTACGATATAGAAATCTTCCATCAATCTGAGCACAGTATGCTAATTGATTTTGAAAAAAACCTTGAACACTTCAAACTTAGCTTCAGTCTTTATATGTAATTGTACATGCTTTAAATTTCATCAATATTAAATATAACTCAACCAAGTTATCTTGCAGAAATCGAAGTGTGGACAGATGGACAGCCAGATGGACTCTCCTAATACCATAATACATCCCATCCAAAATTATGACAAGCATACAACAAAACGCAGTCTTCAATAAAACATGGACACGTGATTAAGACTGACCTACCTATATATCTGTGCTTACCTGTAGGTGAGTCCTTCTGAATGGCATGGAGACAGGTGTTGGACAGGTGGGAAAGATTCTCTGCTGTTGTGGACAGAACCGACACGGGGAGTTCGTCTTCGGAGTTCTGACGAAGAAACGGCGAGGGAGTACTGCCCTCTGGTGTCACACTGGCCTGGTTCACTATGGCTTTAAGCCTCAATGTCTTGTCTGGGGAAAAGAAAAAAAATCATATGTACCACTTTATTTGTTCGTTTCTTCATTTCTCCCCTTTTCTTTTATTTATAAACAGTCCTTTTTTCTTTCTTTATGTACAAACAGTCTTAGATGTACCTTATATGCACAGACAATTTTCTTGTTGCCAAAAAAGATACCATTTCATCAGTCCTGTGCCGTTATTGTATTGTTGCATGTATAGAAAAACATTCAGGAGATATTTAAAGATGGCAGAATTCGAATTTAGTAATGTTCTGAAAGTTTAGATCATTCATGAAAATGGAGCCAGGAATATCAATATCATCAGTCCTGACCATAAGGTAACAAGGTTTCACTGCGCATGAACTACTGTAGCCTACCATGTAGTAGTATATGGAGACAGGGCTCAAACTCCAGTCCTACATTCAACAGGTGTGTGAAGTGACCAGGCAGTGTCACCATCAGGTAATCACCTAAAACACATTACAGTACAGAAAATAAAACTCATAATAAAAGGCTTCTTTTGTAAATGGTGATGAAAGATTGTGAGCCTTTTCCTGTTATGAGTCTTCAAAAAGTGATCTTCCTTTTTTGTTTTATGAGTCTAAACATAATTTATTACTTAAAGTATAAACCCTACAAACTTTTTTAAACCTTGCTTTAACATGACTGCAATCATAGTTTTACTAGAAAATGATAATTTGATTTAGGATGAATTGTTTGGAATGACCCTCATAATTCTTCTTCTTCAGTTTATTTTACACAAACAATTTTATTTCTGGATCTTGTTGACCCAACCATGCACATATTTCAATTATAAATTAACAATTCAGTGTTGTCACAACCATCCATTAAAAAATAATTCACTTGCCGCCCAACCCTCCTGTGTATTAATTTCTGGAACCGCCCACCCTAAGGATAACATCTAACTGTCTTAATCCTACAGCGTCTTGGTCTAGACAGTGAAAACAAGAGGCCCAGAGGGCCTGTATCGCTCACCTGAATATGTTTAAAATAAATGGTATGAAGTAAAGATATAGCACTCCATGGTAGATGCTGTAAGTACATATGAAATTTCAGAAAGATCCATCCAGAACTGAGATATAACGAGAACAAACTTCAAACAGAGCCCCACCCCTGGACAGCCGACGGCCGCTGCGGTATGGCATAAGCTTCGGACCAGGTGAGCTAAAAACCTTTCATTGCAGTCAATATTGATCCTTATAATACATGATCTTTGTATTTTAACAACTTTAACCTACTTTTGGTATTTAAGCAATACTTACTGTGCCAGCAGAAATGAAGTCTGTGCTTGGCTGAGAAGGGGATCCCCATAACCCGACCATGTAGGATCTTGGCTTGAAAATGGAAATTACAAATGTATTAGATTTATCTCCAATGTCCATTGCTTTTTATCAACAATTTCTGACATCATACTTAGATATGATCCTACAAAAAATCAACAATTTGTTCGTTATTGTGTCACAAACAGATACCATTGACCTGTCAGGACCTCGCCTTCCCTATACTACAAAGTGAGTGCTCAAATCCTGCACAAAACACAGAAATGTTCTGATCTTATTCCGTCTTTTCGTATTGCTATTTTTCGCGAGTCTCACGCCAAAATCGTTAGATATGGCATGTATGTTGACACTAACATCACCCAATAATTTGGTTTATCTACCTGTACCCCAGCACCTACAACATGCACATACGTGAGAACACATTAGACATCGTGTCACTTTCACAATCAGGCAACTTTTTCTTGAGCTTTCTGACAAATCTGAAACTATCCACCACGTACAACCTCTGATATTATACTATACACACTCCTTTTAGAACCTGGCAACTCTGGATCATGTCCATAGGATAAAAGATGCTTCTGCCATTTCTTCTCTTAGAAATAAAGTACCATTTATAATACACATAGTCATTTATGAAAATATCCTTTAAACTAGCTGAAAGACAATGGAGACATTTGAACGGACCAGGCTAATACATTGTTATGCGCTTGTTTCCAAAAGGGGTGCAAAAAGTTCCCAATCTAATTAAATAAGATCTTTGCATCGCTCTTGTTAACTGATCAATACACATTGTTTAGAAGTGTCTTCAAGAAGTTGTCAGACTTTGTTCCTATAACTGTGAATTAAATATCACACACACAACCATTATAAACTTCAATCAACCAATTATGAAATTTGTATGTATTGTAAATGCTGAAATCACTTGAATGTTCTCCCTTAACAAAAAGAGCTCACCTGTCCTAGTAAGTCCTATCTAAAACAAAATTTTATGTTTCAAGATTTCTGACAATAAATGTATCCCACAGAAAGCTGCTGATATAATTCATTCTTACCGTGGTGGACCATACAGATGTAGTAGGAAATCTCCATCACATCTTCCTCATTTTCAGAGGACAGCGACAGATTCAGGGAGGATGGGCTGGTCTGTATGTAGAAATTAAAGTTACCAAATGTACTTCATATAAAGGCTTAATAATACCTAAAGACAACACTGTATTAATGATAAACATCAGCTAGGTATACCTGTTTACCAGACAACGTGGCTACAAATATATACCACCCGTGTAGATAAATGTTGTTCTTCCAAACCATGTCAAAAGGAAACTTATGGTTTTTTTTTATATGTATTTACATGTATTAAAATAATATTGTTCAAATCAGCTCTTTTAATTAACATTACAGCTGTCTTTCTGAAAAACCTTTTTCAAAGAATAAGCAGGTCAACCCTTACGTGGGCAGGTGATTTCCTTGACCTTCGGCTGGACGACCTTGCCCGCTCGCCATTGTAGGGTGTTTCTGTAAGATGTTGGTAACAGACACAGTAGGTCCCGTTACTCTGGGTCAGGACCACCAAGTTCAGGAACAGGTCTATCAGAACAAGTAAAATTTCCTTCAAACTCATATCAAAAGTAGGCATAGAAATTCAGTAGGATTTCTGATATGTCTAGATCACTATATTTGAATTTTGATAAATGTAGTGCAATCCTTTCAGTTTAGCGTGATTTGTAATAATTCTCCTTCAATCTGAAAAACCCCACTAATAACCATTGACAATATAAACAAACTGGTTAAGGAAATAAAAAATATATATTAAATTTTAATTAGTGAAAATTATTTTTCTCTCTGGTATCCTGGATATTTTTCCAGAAACCATAACATCTGTAGTTAGAAGGTTCAACAAATAAGTGAAGATTCTCAACATTTTATACTGAAAGTGTACATTCAATTTTTTTCGAGCTTTTGGCGCTTTAAATCTTGCATTAAATTATGACTGCGCTAATTGAAATTCCTGTATATAGTCTTCTGTTGGCTGTCTATATGTTGAATGCACTAATTCTTCAATATTATGTTGAATTTCAATAATATGCTAAAATTTGAGTCCACTAAAATCTGTACTTTTACAGTATATATTAGGAATAAAAGGTAATCATCCAGTGGACCTCTCAAAAACATAGACAAAACAGCACTTCAAGAAAATTTCACGTATAGCATATACAGTACATTTAGCTGAGGCACCTATTGGAATGTGTAGGGTGCATTGTTTTAGCTTACTAAAGCCAGTGTTATTTATAATATAACATATACATACCTGGGATACCGTGATGGAACGGGTAGGGAGCATAGTGTTGTCTGCAACAAAACCAGTAGAGATATATACAACTTATCTGTTTTTACTGTCATAGAAATTCGTCTGCATTAAAACTCACATGTCCTACAGAGCAGAGAAATTATACATTTACTGAAATAGTACTTTATGATCAGTTTAAGACAGCTTTCCAAATACTGATTGAGCTTATATTTATTGGTCATTTTTTTTAAGTAAAATAGTTATGATACTAAAATGTGTTATTTAGTACAACTGCCAAATCTGTAAAGCTTGTTTTTCTTAAACAAATCTGGAACAATAGATTTATCAGTTAAATGAAACTATATCAACATTAATACAACTTCAGGATTTTTTTTTTTTTT